TAAAAATCAGAGAAACTTTACTTCCCACACTAAAATTCAGGGGCTCAGCTGACTGGCTTTTCCAGTCTCTGTCCTCTGAGCTATCTACATCATTATTGACCATCCTGGGGTTTTTTGAGGGGGGGGGTTGTTTATACTTAAATAAGAAAACGTTATTTTGGATACCTTACAAAATCTTTAATTTTTCCTTTTATCGCACTTGGGAATTTACAGGGTAATTAGCCTACCTTAACATAGCTAACTCATCAAGAAATGTAATACAACCCTGGGGGTCTATTTAGAGTGATATCAACTCAACATGCATTATCATTGGTAGGGGTACAGAACTGGTGTTCGACTGTGCGTCTCTGAGTTTTAGCAGAAGCCACTCAAAAGAGGAAGGGTTTGCTTGGGCTTCTGGTTTCAGAAGGTGTAGTCTACCGTGGCAGGGAGGTGGAACAGAGCTGTTTGCCTTGGGAAGGGCAGGAGAGCCGGCACTTGGTGCCAGGATAGCCTATCTCCCCCTTTTATTTAATCTGAGCCCCAGCCTATGGGATAGGGCCACCCACGTTCAGGACTGCTCTTACCCCTTGGTTGATCCTCTCTGGAAAAGCCCTCACAGATGTCCAAAGGTATGCACACTGATCTCCTACACACTTCTCAATGCAATGAAAGTGGTAATCAAGCTTTGCCATCACTCGGCCTGTGGTTGATATGTATACAGATTTTCCCCTGTACAAAACATAGTAAGCACATTCAAGGTTATCCTAAAATAACTGTGGATATCAAAATAGCATAAGTCAAATGCTGATTAGCTGTGGACAGTCCGTGACAGACTAGGTGTGCAAGTGTGAGAGACAGCTTGTGTGTGCTGTGACGTTCATGGTTCAGGGATGGACTTACCGGAATGGAGGAGAGATCTGAGCCTTGGATGAGAAGAAGGACAGGATAAAAGAGGCGAACACCCACGTCCCAGCGCAGTCACAGGATGTGGCACCCTTGGGAGGTGCTGACTAGAGGAACCTGACTGATGAGGACAGTAAGAATTGGAAAAGGAAGTCATCACAGCTGGGTCCATAAGACAACACATGGCCCTGAAGGCTGAGCAGCTTGCTGAAGTTCGAGGATAAAGATAATCACCCGAGGGAAGGTGTTTTTGAACTTGGAAGGAGCCTGACAGGTCCAGCTAGAGGAGGAAGGACTAGGTGTGAGGGTCTTAGCACCCCAGCACTAGCAAGTATACCGGTAACATAAAAGTGTGTGAGCGGGATGGTGAAGGGACAAGCAGGGGTCATGGTCTGTCCCACAGAGGTCTGAGGTGGGGTCCACCAGCTTGCCTGGGCATCACCGTGAGTTCCCCGGCTCCACCTTCTCCGTATGTGAAGTCCGTGGCCCTCCTACCAGCTACTTCTTTATGGACAAGCAGGAAGGTCATTTTTCATTCATTTCTACTGTAAATTTGCCTGTTTAAGTTGCTCTCAGCCCACGTGCTGGGGTCCCTGAGTCCAACTTTCTTAGTTCTAAACATCTGAGCAGTTCAGTTTCCTTCCTAGCTGTCTGTTTACTGGTGATTTGCCCCAAGGAGATGGCCATTTGGTCACGTTGTCTGAGCACATTGTCTCAAAAGAACTGCTGTGGAGCCTCACTCGGCAAGGGCAGGACCTCTCCCTTCATGATCTCAGAGTGAACTAATACTCTTACAGAGAGGAGCAGCTGATAAAATATCTGCCCACCTGGAGGAACCCATTGTCACAGTGGTGTTGGTAGAGAGGCTGATGACTTTTGGTTCAGGCCAACCATGCTTAGAGTCAACATTCTGCCACATATTGCGGAATGAGCTAAAAAAATTATTTAATAATTTCATTGTCTTTAGCTGTAGATGGGGATCATTACAAGCAACTCACAAGAAACCACAATACCTTATATAGAAGGACATACCATCTACTGAGAGTTGTCTGCTTTAAGGCAAACAACACACACACACTGAAAATCCTACCTTGTCTCTGATAGCTGGTATAATCTTAGACTCATAACTCAATAAGAATTGTGCTTAATGGATGCAAAGGAGGAGAGCATTTTGATGGTTCTGGAAAATAACAGCTACCATCGAGTAGACCTGTTTGCCTCCGGTCGAGGACTTCCCTCAGCTCCTTAGCTAAGGAGCACCACAAGGCTGGGTGTGCACAGTGCACCTCCTGAAGGTGAGTGGTCTTATCCTATCTTGAGGATCTGTCAGAAAGCTCATCATGACTCACTCTCCCAAAGATGAGATCGTGAAGTAAGTCATTAGACTGTCAGAAGTATCAAGAAAGACTTTGTCAGTCAGCTGACAAGAGAACTCGTTTTGCCTGCTGTTGGTGACATGGCTGAAAGGTGGGGATGCTGTAGGAGAGGTTGTGGGCATGGTGGAAGGCTTGTTTGTACACATTGTATGACAAACCTTGTTCTCTCTTGTCCTGTACTTTGACTACTGCATTGTTCTTAACTCAAAATTGATTTTAGTTCATTTATAAAGTTATACCTTGAACATCTATGATGTGTAGCTCCTGTACTCAGTGTAGTGGGGTCCAAGGTAAACAAAAATGACCAGTTTGGACCCCAAGCCTAACTTCTGAAGATCAGAGATGCTCTTGTTGGGACAGAACAGTCAGCCACAGTCTTCATAAAGGAGTTTTTGCTCAGAGTGAAGCTGGTAAACGGGACGGTGCTAAGCCAGATTCAGCTGTGCAGAGAGCCAGGATGTTTGCAGCTCTTCCTAGAAAGAGATGGGGACTGTCTCCATCTATCTGTGCCCGGCTGTCTTGACTAAGACCATCGGCACACAGAGAAGTGATATTTTCCCAGGCCGACCCAAAGAAACCCTGCCCTGTGCTGACTTCCCTGTCACCACACTGACCTGTTTCCATGTCCGTCCTCAGAGGTGAAGAACTCTCCTTCCAAACTCCACTTCTTCATGCCAGACCACCCACCAAGAGCATGTGGTGGGGTTTACTACCTGCACATGTGCTTTCTGGGAGAGCGAGTGGATTCCCAGGCTGTTCTGTGAATGGCTTCAGAGCACAAGATGAGGAGAATGTTTTGGAGTTACCCAGCAGTTGGCTGGAACTAGGTGGAGCTTGGGCTGACCTGAAGTTTACGTCAGTGAGTGTATTCATCAGGCTCCATGTAGAAGACAGGAGAGGGCCTGTGACACGTCTGAAAGCTGCCACTGGTCACTCTGGAAATGGAGTCAGGCTCTGCTCTGTGTCTCATGTCTTCAAACACTTAGTACCTGGAATGGCTTCTTGGTTTGCTTTGTTTATTTTGTGTTTATTTCTCTGCTTTCTTCAAACTGTAAGCTCAGTTATGGTTAAAACCAAGTCTGCATTGTTCACTGATTCTCCAGCTTCTCAGTTAATGCTTGGCACATAGTAGGTATGCAGGAAACATTTGTGAATGAATGAACTTCCACAGGTGCTTTGCTATATGAAATCCTGAGGCTTATGCGCCCCCCACCCCCCGCGCCCCACCACCCCAGGACAGCTGTGCTGTAGGTGATACCAGAAACCTCCCATATCTCCTACCAGGTTTACCCTGGAGGGAGGGCTCAGCAATGGGATCCTTCTGTCCTTCACTGTGCTTTGAGTTAAATCCTTGTATCACATCTGATCCAATGGATCTGTGTGATCCATATGCATGAAGTGGGCGGTTCTAGCTCCATGGGAAATTTATGTGTTATGTTCCCGAATCTTTCTGACTGTGTTGCTCTACTCAGCTGTTACACTGCACACCCATCTCTGAATATTTTACAAAAGTGCTGCTCAGGACAGCGCCTACTTTCTAACTCACGGCTGCCCAGGATAGAGCACACTGCATCCCAGAGTTCAGAGCGGGAGCCAAAATGAATTCCTCCTATGTTAGGTGAAGACATCAGCCGCCTGTTACAGAACTGACTGCTGGCTGTGAATCCTGGTAACTTCCTGTCCCCCAGAGTGTCTTCTGTAATCCTTACAGAATCCCCAGTTCTTCTCATGTACCTTAATGTTTTATATATGTATGTATGTTGTATGTATTATATATGTATATATACATATTTGTGTTTTTCACATATAGACTTTTTTTCTGTAAATCTCAAATTTTCTTTGGAAGTAGCCATGGATTTAGTAATTCAGAAAAGATGTTATTTCAGGACACATTGAAAAAATTCCAAATAAGAATTTACTATCCAGGGTCCTCTCTCCAGGGAGACCTGGGGCGCAGGGAAAGTCAGGAACAATACCACCTGCTGGCTCACCGTCATGGCGTGCTGCTCTCCATGGCTCCCATAGTCACCTCAGGGCCAATGAAACGTTCTTTGCTCTCTCCTGATTTCCCCACACCACAGGGGCTTGATTGAGGCCATTTGTAGCCACAATTCTGGGCTACAGATAGCTAGAATTTGAAGCAAATCTACCCCCAGATATGGCCTGCTAAGGATGACTTCACCTTTATCTTCTCCCTGTTTAAAATAAGGCCTGGCCCTTAGGCCCTGAAGCCATGGTAGAATAATTAATGATTGGTCTTCAGTAGTGTTTTAATATCCTTAGAACTCTAGGATTGATCATCTTCTTTTACCTAGGGCTTAATACACCGAAATGGAAAAAGGAGTCATTCTTCATATAATTGTTTAACCTATAATTTAAAAGGCTTAAAAAATATAATTCAGGGACTGGAGATGGCTCAGCACTTAAGAGCACTGGCTGCTCTTACAAAGGACCTGGGTTCAATTCCCAGCACCCAATGCCAGCTAACAATCATCCATAACTCCAGTTCCAGGGGATCCAACGTCCTCTTCTGACCTCTGTGGGCATTGCATAATATGGGTGCAGTTATACACATGCAGGCAAAGCACTCATACACATAAATAAGTAAATAAATATAAAAATGCAACTCAATTAACTTTCCTTTAGGGAATAGGTAGCCACAATAAGCTGGGTTGGTTTCTATAAAATGAATCGATTTTCCCTTCTCTTCTTCGATCATGTAATTGGAGCTATGCTCTTTTTGAAAACCATCTTAAGGAAACGAGCTGGATGGCTTTGATGAACTTTCACATTAGGTAAAAGTGGTGAAATTATTTTCCGCCGTGTTCAGAATCTGCAGAACATCCTTGATTTATTTCTTCCATTTCCTCCGTCCTTACTTCCAGAATCTGGAAATTTATTCATTACTAATTTTTAAATAGTACTTTGAATTTCATTAATAGCCATCTAGTTGCTTTTTATTTTGCATTTTAAATTATTATTAAACTATATCGATGCTTCTAATTTAATATCTGCTAAATAAGCTCCTGTAACTTAAATAACCTTTGAACTCAGTATTGGTCATCCTCTGAGTCAGCCCTTTTGGGATTCCTGTAACAGTCCAGGACTCTAGCCTGGGTTTTAGGATAAAGGCACAGAGCATCATCACAAGGTTGGTCCGTGGAATCCTGAAGGAAACGCGTTACTATGATTGAAGTAGAAAGTCAAAGGGGATCACTGACGCTTCCAGGAAAATGTAAAATAACAGCTGTGTTGCTTCCAGGGTTATGGAAGTGTTCTAAAATTAGATTACAGAAATGATTATCACAGTCTGTACGTTTACAAAGAACATTTTCACTGCATGCTTTGGATAGGTGGATGAACGCCACAGCGTGTAAGTTAAAGCCTCAATAAAGCCGATTCTCAAAGGCTGTATCCTGGTGAAGGAGGGGAATAATGTTCTGATTTGCAGATAACAGCAGCAGTGATTCTAATGAGCTCTCAGCTGAAGGAAGCAGTAACTGTGGCCTCCAGAGCAAATGGCATCCCCCAGAGGAATCTGCTCAGCTTGGCTGTCTGTGGTCTCCACTGCCTTTAGGAGATGCAGATCCTTCACCCTGGCCGTGCTGCTCAGCGACGATGCAGGGTTCCATTTCCATGGAATGGCGTCTGTTCTTGGAAGATTTAAAGTCTGGGGCTTGTCTCCATGCAGTGATGCTTGGTGGCTTAAACCATCAGTGTTCATCTTTAGCTCTCGAT